ATTTTACACAAAAGGCATTTCTATTCAAAACTCTTTCCAGTTTCTCCGTTTTCTAGTTTTCTGGCTAACTGATGCACCCAGGGTGTAGACCCAATAATAAAGTACTAATTGCTTATAGCCCCTCTGTGTTCATGTCAATGACAATAGACTTCCTATGGCTTTAGCCCCGGGAAAACATTTAATATTTCAGCCTTTCTCGTTCTTGAGTGATTAACACTCAAACTAGACACGTTTCTTTCTCTGGCTATCATCACGGATCTTCAGGAAACCTTTTTGGGAAGCAATCTATACGTTTAATTCCCGCAAATCTTCTAAAAATATGAAGAATCAGATTTCCATTATGTAAAGTTTCTTTTATTATCGAAGCAGTCACATTAGTCTTTTAGCTTACTTTTGTCTAACTACGTCATCAATAAAACAATGTTTTGATTATTCAGTTTTTTTCAATTCTGCCTCTCTTAAGCATGCCATTTGAGAAAAACGAGCTGACCTTCAGTTCTTATACTCCACCGTCTGTGCTTGCCAGTAATTAGGTCTGTTGGCCTGCAGAGGAGACATTTAAATCTACTTAATTGGAATTTCCACGCACCACGACGCTGGTACTAATACAATTAATTGGCGAACAATTTTGCTTCGGTTATTCTTCGCGCCCAAACTGTTGTGAATACTCGGGTACTATAGACATTCCGGTTGCGGCCATATTTGTCTTCTCGTAGTTTGGAAGGTACTAACGTTCAAGAGCACAATCTCTGACTACGCTTTAGTTTCTGCAGACGAAAAGAACGGCATTACTTCTTTCGTGCCTACAACTGGCATTGGTTCTCTCTGGAGTAAAATCCAGGACTATTCGGATATTCACAGATCGCTGGTTTTTCAAGCTTATCAACTGGAATTATTTCACAATTTATTGTCTGTTTATTTTACTTTTTGCTTCATTGCGATCGATCAGATCCGACGTCACGCTTCGCTACGCGTTACGCTTTGTCACATGTCACGCACTCAACTCGCTGACCAATGAAATTGCTCATCGTTCCAGTCTTTTTTTCCGGCTGACGGCGGTAGCCTTGAACTGAACAAAAACGAGTAATCGCTGGTTACGTGACACTTTCGGTCATGAAGTTTAGAATAGTTAGATTTATCGTGGGAATTGTCGGTCTTATAGTGATTATTCAAGTATTAACGGCCATTTATTTCTCATCTAAACACTGGCCGGAGGATCATCCTGTAATTGGAAACCGTCATGTTGGAAGGTCGGTTGGTAAAACGCACTCACACGTGGAGAAGGAACAGGTAAGATTAGTTACGTTCGTTTTCATTTAGTCAATGAATTTTCAGATATTCCTGTAGATAGATTGGCATAAGTATTAAAACGGCAAATGGTTCTTGAATTGTTTACCGGCGTCGTACACGGTTTTTCATGCTAGAAATAGTTCTTCGTAGTATTTCATTTGAGCAATATCGAGATGCGTGTACATGTATTATTCCTATCCGACGAAGTACATCATTGAGCAGGAACTTGCGATTTATTTTATTCCACATGGGGGTTTTCCGTTATAAAAATTCTAAGAAGATTTCATTGGGGCATTGATTACGCAAAGAAATAGTTTTTATTTAAAGCAGCTAGTTTATTTTCGTAAATAATTTAGTGTGTTCTAGCTGGTGCTAAGTTTGTCAGTAAAGTGCAGTGACTTGCGAAGTCGGCGCAAAGGTCGGTGATATGGGGGCAGAAGTTTTCGTTTTTTCCAGAACATCTGATAAGAGAAATGTTATTCAAAGTAGCTCTTCACATTAGTATTGTAGTAGATACTAAAACATTCAATTGGTTCATGAAAGACAACTTAGCAACAGCTTTAGAATTGTTCATTAGACAATGCTACTCGAGATCGTTACACGTCGCGATCTTATTTATTAAACAATTTTTGGAATTAAATAAACAGCTTGTTAAGGTGGTCGAAAGCAAGTCTCAAGATTAAAAGAATATAAGCTTAACCTGAGAGAAAAAATACATCTTAACCGAGGACAATCACATTGACTGGTAATTAACTGAGACTAAACAACCGGGCGCCATATATACGAGCTTAATATAAATTTACGACAGTCTTATCAGCGATTTCAAAACACCAAATAAGCTTATCGCCACAACAGTTGTATAATTGTCTCTTGGTAAAACCATATTCGTATAGCGAATATCTCAGATATAAATATATGGTAATCCATCGTTTAGTTCAATTCTGTCAACAAGAGATCGAGAGAGGCACTTTTCAAAATGACTGTTTTTACAAATTATGTTTATTTATTCCCCAGCTGGCACTTTGCTTATGTACTCATAGCTGCACTCAGTTTATTTTTTGTCACATTTCCATAATTTATAACTTGGTGCAATGTATTTTCTCCAGTAAACATTGTATTCCCCACATCCAAACTGCAGACAAACAATATCGTTATAGTAATTTATCAGGGCTGGACATAGCCAGAAAAACGTTATAACTGAAGCAAAGTCTATGGTTACTGTAAATTCAGTAACTGGGTGTTAAGCCCCCAAGTTGATTAGCTCCTAACCATTTATCCTCCAACCAGAAGTCAATTAGCTGTCAACCAGAAGTTGAAAACACTGTCTACAGTGTGTATTTCTCATTCTTGAAGAGTGAATGGGGGCTAATCGACTTCTGGTTGGGGGCTAGTTGGCTAGGGGCTTATACACACATCAACTTGGAAGCTATACGACCAGTAACTGTAAATTCTCTTCTTATGTATTTACCAGTGTTTTAGCTTCCCCTTCAACAACAAAAAAATGCAACGAAAACGAAAAAAATGACTGAGGCAAGAGCCTCAGTTTGCCTCACACTGACTATGACCCTGGTTATCTACTGAAAGTCAAACTCTCATGTCAGGTTAATTAGCTCATTAGAACTGTCAGTGTTAAAAAAAAAAGGTGATAGCTGAAATATGACTCTAGATCAATCAAAACAAGTCTGAGTACTTGTTTTGATCGATCTAGAGTCATATTTCAGGTTTGTTGTGATGGGGTTTGCCTTCACACCAGCTCCCAGCGACCACTACCCAAGGGCTGATGTTTGCACACATGTAATTATTCTTGGTGCGAGTCACAGATGACAGTTAGAGTGCAGTTATGTTGTTTTCTCGCACCGGGGCGGGTTGGTAAAGGGAATGACGTACAGACTTTGGAGTTTTGCCAATTCTTTGGTGACTTGAAGTGACTCATATTTTGGGGTTCATAAAATGCAGTACTGGAACTTCTATTATCTAGGGCATGAAGCACCATGACGTTGGCAAGTACTCAAACTTGTTTTGATCGATCTAGAGCCAACCTTGGTACCCAGTAAGGCACCACATGTATCATGTGTTGCCTGCTCAGAGGGTTGGGAGAATTTGATGTTGATCTTGTGATCAAAAGGATTAATTAATTATCCATTGTAAAATAGTTTCATACTCCTAAATGGTTTCCACTGTAGGCATTTAAACTTTGTTAGTAGTCTCTAGTTCAAAATACAAATTCTCATAAACACATGTCACACATTTTTGCTATAACAGTACAGAGAATTTAGTTGTGTACAAAGACAGAACCAGAAAACCACTACTTCTTTACTCTTCTTGTTATAACCTGCCCTGCTTACATAATATGTTTACAAATATTTTTCAAACAGAGTGACAACCATTACACATGTATACCAACATGTAAAACTTTGAAATTAAGTTTTAGGAATAATTTGTTAGAATTTGGCAATTTTACCTCGTAAGCTCACCAACGCTTCTGCAGAGGTTTCTAAAAATCAAAATAATACATGACTTATTAACAATTAAGCTCACATGTCTCACATTCGATTCAGAGCGTGAAGCAAAGCATCAATACAAATTTATGTACAGTCAAAGGTCAACAATAAAATAAAACGACAGAAAAAAAAACAGCAATTAACCAAGGTTGCCATATACTTAGACTCTAGAAACAAAGATCGATAAATCTGTAGGTTAACTTATGTGTCATCTAATGAGCACACTTGTAACCTCAATTTGGGTCTCACCATGTACCCCAAAGTCAAGTTTTCTTAAAAATTACAAATTTATGCATTCAAAAGGTTTTAAAACAACAGTTGGAAGTTTGTGTGACTCTGCTTTAGTTTCCGTTCATAATTTACACTTAAACAATTCTTCAAATGTGCAAACTCCTTCCAGAACATTTTAGAATTCACCTTCAAATCTGCCGAGCTTCTTCGGCCGGCTACAAAACTAATCTCACTTATATGTCAAGAATTACATATGTATAAGAAACATTCCGAGATACTTGAGGCAAAAATGTGTTAATAAAATAATTATTTCAAGCTGGATTTACTAATGAAATGGAAAACGACGTGATAAACACAAATTTAAAGTGTTTGATTACTTTACCTTCTTCCGCCATATTGTTTTCTGGGGGCGACGCGCTCTTTTTTCAAAGAACTCTGCCGCTCAGCATTCTGGGTAAATTTAATGTCATTCATTTGTTTTTGTTTTTTTTTTTTCTATTTTTTTTCTTTTTAACACGGACGGAGAAACATTTCGGCAATTTTCTTAGCATGCGAGCAGACGGTTAATGTTTCCTGTCAAAGGAAAGGAAAGTCACATGATTTGTAATTGTCATGGTGAGCTTCCATAATATCACGATTTCAGCAATCACTCGGTCAAAGTAGACAGGAGCCCATTACCAATGGGCTGCTGATGTTGAAAAATAAAACATCAAAACACTCTTAGCGTAAAACATTAGTTAGTCTTTATTCCATTTCCTGAGTACTTTAAATGGTGCCAACAACTCACCTCAAGCCCAAGCTCAGTGACGAAAAATTGTTCTCTTGAATTTCCAGAGGTTTAAAATATTCTCACGGTCTGTTCAGACGGATTGGTGCTAACCAATACAGATCCGGCTAAAATTATGATATTACTCACCTGGGGTTTTAGCTATGCCTGACAGAGTTTAATATGCCATTTTTACTTTCAACTGAATCCATCATGTACCAAGTATTTATAACGGCGGATATCGGAGATGAAAAGTGCACTATATTTTAGTCTGAGTCGGAATTCCGGACTTACGGTCACTTAGCGATCTGCGTTCGGAAAATATCAGGATAGCGTCACGTTCGAGTGAGACAAGCCAAAACAAACAGCTTTTAAATTATTAACACGTTTTATTGGTTATTATGTATATGAAATCTCTTTAATTTAACTCAACCAATTTCTCTTCCATTTACAACGAGGTAGTTTGAAGCCTAGGGTGTTTGTGTGGGCCAGGAGAGAAGGTGACGGGGAGGATGGGGGTTTTAGGGGGTGTTATTGAACGAATAGAAACACGTTTACTGACTTGGGATTAATTTTTGAGAATCAGTTATTGGAAGTTAGGCTGATATTTTGTTACTGGATAGATGATAAATGTTAAACGCCAAGACCCAAGAAAGATCCAGACTTTCGTAAACAAGTGTCTCCGAAAAATTCTACAAATTTATTGGCCAGATACTCAAACGAAGACCTATGGCGAACAACAGGGCAAGAGAAAATGGAATTGCAGATCAAGAGAAAACGCTGGGGACCTGGGGTTGGTGGGTCTGCGCAAACCAAATACCAACACCACCAAGCAGGCCTTGAGATGGAATCCACAGGGAAAGCGGAAGAGAGGGAGGCCAAGGAACAGCTGGCGACGGTCAATCGGAGGTGGAGTCGAGAAAGGTAGGCTTCAACTGGCAATAGTTGGAGAGACAGTCACAAGACAGAGAGCGATAGAGAGACTTCCTTAAAGGTGGCTCGATTGGACTTTTGTGTAACAATACTACTCAACTTTGAGCGACTAAAGCACCACCATTATCAATCCAACAGAAAATCGAACGTTACTGGTGTGTTGGAGAAAGATGAAAGTTTCAAATGAGGTAAGTTTTACCAGGGTCTGAGTTACAATAGCAATTAACGTTAAACATGAGACCGAGTAATTTATCATCTAGTGATAATTTTGGAAATAAGACGTAGGGATCTAAGACATGTAGTTGTTTAAACGATGCAAAATATACAAAAATGTATAAGAGCGTTTTCGACTAAGAAAAATGCGGGTAAAGTTTCACTACAGTTAGGCTCGATTTCTGCCGCTCTCTCGTGTCCGGTCTACGTTCAGTTTCAAGGTATAAAAATACAACAAAAACAAAGCTGTTTTAAAATGTTATTGCAAACTATGCCAAGACTTGACTAAATGGTATTTTAAGGTCTTAAATGAATCTTATAACATCTAATTACCTCTAGAGAAAATCTCAGAGAACTGAGATTCATTTGATTTTCAGAAACATTTTGCTTTTTAACAAAAATTAGTCAAGTCTTGTGGGCATAGTTAGTTTAGACAACTTTGTCAGGCCTTAGATCCCGACGTTTTATTTATCATGCACTTGATGATAAGTTATTCGGTCTCATGTAAACTGGGGCATAACGTCATAACATTGCTATGGTAACTCAGACCTTGGTAAAACTTAAAACTTTCATCTTTCTCCAGCACACCAGCAACATTCGATTCTCTGTTGAATTAATAATGGTGGTGCTCTAGTCGCTCAAAGTTGAACAGTATCGTTACACAAAAATCCGATTGAACCACCTTAAGGACCTATGCCCCCCACGAGGTGAAAGGGTTTAAGCCAGTATAAGTCAGTAGATAAATCATCACCATGATTAACTGTTACGTCAGGGCTGTTCAACACGAACCATAGGCTCGATTTCCACCGCTTTCTCGAGTCCGATCTGCAGCGCGGGCTCTTTTCTCGAACAGCGGCTGGTAATCGAGCCTGCATGAACCACAACTAAATAATACTAATCCTTGCATCCAGGAGCCTGTATGGTCGTCAAGTACTTGTGAGCCTTAAAATCACTGTCGTTGTTATTCCACCATCTTGAACTTCAAACCGGATTTTTTTCTCTTTTTTTGAAGGCAAAATCTCTTCACTGTTTTCGAAGTATCAGATCCCAGGCGTTGCTTTTTCTCCAAACAATATATCCTGTTTGCTTCGGGGCGCTCGCCGCGGCTCCCTTATAAAGAACTTTGAAAGAATGGAAATAGTTTTATATCCCATTAAGCCTTCCGGTGATAATTAAAATCCTTCTTTAACTGCAGTAAAACTAAAAAAAAACAACCAACGCTAAGTGAATAATCCCAAGATCTCCCTGAAACTCAACCCGCGGTGGCCCCTCTTCCACCTTAAGGTTAAAATTAAAATAGAAATAGCCTGTCCCCTTCCAAACGAAGCCGGATAAAAACTCTATGATACGCAAATTATTTCTATCAGGAGTTACACTTTCTAGTTAATAAGTTAAATAACTAATATTCCTTCAGTGGCCTTAATCTATCATGGATGTAGTCGCGTTGAAATTATTGCAATTAAATAAACGGCTTTTAAAATTTAGATTCTCTCTGATGAGTCTGTCCGTCTCACAAACAAACCCCTTGGGTGGTCGTGGTCGCTGGGAGCCGGTGTCAAGGAAAACCACATCACAACAAACCAATTTTATTTTTCCAATTGCCTCCCAAGTTTTGCATAAACTATTATGAAATGCTCTTAGGAGATGTGCATATTCCCAAACGCATTTCACAACAACATTTTATGCAATATGTGTGGGGCAAACAGAGTGAATTATGGACAATTGGAATACAGAGAATAAGGAGTTCATGGGAGTGCGGCTCTTTTGTGGAGTTTAGATAAGTAAAATACTTGAGATAATAAGGATTATAACGCACAAAAATAGTGCTTGCGGCTAGGAAACAATAAATGAATTTGAGACTGAACAAATAAGAAGATTACACATATTAAGGCAAGCACGTTTGCCGGTATTTCGGTTTTAAACAAACCCTTTACAACGGAGGATAGCTTGAAGGAGGGAAGCTTAAAACAAATTATGTCAAAGAGCCATTATTCAGTTAAGTACCTAGAAAAAGTGTCGTTTGAGGTTTGGGCTAATTGGGAGGCCGTTAAAAATCTGTGTAGTGCCGGGGATGATCGAAAAGGATGGAGAGGTTAGGATCAGTTTCTCTCCTGTTGAAACAAAAGTTTACTCCAAGCTATGTTTAGGAGCGAGGACAAACATAACGGAAATTGTGACAACTAAGATAAATGTGAGCCAGACTTGTTAGTCCATGGCGAGGATTTGTTTGATTTTATTTGTTTGATTGTACTTGCGTTTTTTTGTTGTTTTTTTTTTCTGAGTTTTATTTCACACGAGGGAAAATTTTACACAAAAGGCATTTCTATTCAAAACTCTTTCCAGTTTCTCCGTTTTCTAGTTTTCTGGCTAACTGATGCACCCAGGGTGTAGACCCAATAATAAAGTACTAATTGCTTATAGCCCCTCTGTGTTCATGTCAATGACAATAGACTTCCTATGGCTTTAGCCCCGGGAAAACATTTAATATTTCAGCCTTTCTCGTTCTTGAGTGATTAACACTCAAACTAGACACGTTTCTTTCTCTGGCTATCATCACGGATCTTCAGGAAACCTTTTTGGGAAGCAATCTATACGTTTAATTCCCGCAAATCTTCTAAAAATATGAAGAATCAGATTTCCATTATGTAAAGTTTCTTTTATTATCGAAGCAGTCACATTAGTCTTTTAGCTTACTTTTGTCTAACTACGTCATCAATAAAACAATGTTTTGATTATTCAGTTTTTTTCAATTCTGCCTCTCTTAAGCATGCCATTTGAGAAAAACGAGCTGACCTTCAGTTCTTATACTCCACCGTCTGTGCTTGCCAGTAATTAGGTCTGTTGGCCTGCAGAGGAGACATTTAAATCTACTTAATTGGAATTTCCACGCACCACGACGCTGGTACTAATACAATTAATTGGCGAACAATTTTGCTTCGGTTATTCTTCGCGCCCAAACTGTTGTGAATACTCGGGTACTATAGACATTCCGGTTGCGGCCATATTTGTCTTCTCGTAGTTTGGAAGGTACTAACGTTCAAGAGCACAATCTCTGACTACGCTTTAGTTTCTGCAGACGAAAAGAACGGCATTACTTCTTTCGTGCCTACAACTGGCATTGGTTCTCTCTGGAGTAAAATCCAGGACTATTCGGATATTCACAGATCGCTGGTTTTTCAAGCTTATCAACTGGAATTATTTCACAATTTATTGTCTGTTTATTTTACTTTTTGCTTCATTGCGATCGATCAGATCCGACGTCACGCTTCGCTACGCGTTACGCTTTGTCACATGTCACGCACTCAACTCGCTGACCAATGAAATTGCTCATCGTTCCAGTCTTTTTTTCCGGCTGACGGCGGTAGCCTTGAACTGAACAAAAACGAGTAATCGCTGGTTACGTGACACTTTCGGTCATGAAGTTTAGAATAGTTAGATTTATCGTGGGAATTGTCGGTCTTATAGTGATTATTCAAGTATTAACGGCCATTTATTTCTCATCTAAACACTGGCCGGAGGATCATCCTGTAATTGGAAACCGTCATGTTGGAAGGTCGGTTGGTAAAACGCACTCACACGTGGAGAAGGAACAGGTAAGATTAGTTACGTTCGTTTTCATTTAGTCAATGAATTTTCAGATATTCCTGTAGATAGATTGGCATAAGTATTAAAACGGCAAATGGTTCTTGAATTGTTTACCGGCGTCGTACACGGTTTTTCATGCTAGAAATAGTTCTTCGTAGTATTTCATTTGAGCAATATCGAGATGCGTGTACATGTATTATTCCTATCCGACGAAGTACATCATTGAGCAGGAACTTGCGATTTATTTTATTCCACATGGGGGTTTTCCGTTATAAAAATTCTAAGAAGATTTCATTGGGGCATTGATTACGCAAAGAAATAGTTTTTATTTAAAGCAGCTAGTTTATTTTCGTAAATAATTTAGTGTGTTCTAGCTGGTGCTAAGTTTGTCAGTAAAGTGCAGTGACTTGCGAAGTCGGCGCAAAGGTCGGTGATATGGGGGCAGAAGTTTTCGTTTTTTCCAGAACATCTGATAAGAGAAATGTTATTCAAAGTAGCTCTTCACATTAGTATTGTAGTAGATACTAAAACATTCAATTGGTTCATGAAAGACAACTTAGCAACAGCTTTAGAATTGTTCATTAGACAATGCTACTCGAGATCGTTACACGTCGCGATCTTATTTATTAAACAATTTTTGGAATTAAATAAACAGCTTGTTAAGGTGGTCGAAAGCAAGTCTCAAGATTAAAAGAATATAAGCTTAACCTGAGAGAAAAAATACATCTTAACCGAGGACAATCACATTGACTGGTAATTAACTGAGACTAAACAACCGGGCGCCATATATACGAGCTTAATATAAATTTACGACAGTCTTATCAGCGATTTCAAAACACCAAATAAGCTTATCGCCACAACAGTTGTATAATTGTCTCTTGGTAAAACCATATTCGTATAGCGAATATCTCAGATATAAATATATGGTAATCCATCGTTTAGTTCAATTCTGTCAACAAGAGATCGAGAGAGGCACTTTTCAAAATGACTGTTTTTACAAATTATGTTTATTTATTCCCCAGCTGGCACTTTGCTTATGTACTCATAGCTGCACTCAGTTTATTTTTTGTCACATTTCCATAATTTATAACTTGGTGCAATGTATTTTCTCCAGTAAACATTGTATTCCCCACATCCAAACTGCAGACAAACAATATCGTTATAGTAATTTATCAGGGCTGGACATAGCCAGAAAAACGTTATAACTGAAGCAAAGTCTATGGTTACTGTAAATTCAGTAACTGGGTGTTAAGCCCCCAAGTTGATTAGCTCCTAACCATTTATCCTCCAACCAGAAGTCAATTAGCTGTCAACCAGAAGTTGAAAACACTGTCTACAGTGTGTATTTCTCATTCTTGAAGAGTGAATGGGGGCTAATCGACTTCTGGTTGGGGGCTAGTTGGCTAGGGGCTTATACACACATCAACTTGGAAGCTATACGACCAGTAACTGTAAATTCTCTTCTTATGTATTTACCAGTGTTTTAGCTTCCCCTTCAACAACAAAAAAATGCAACGAAAACGAAAAAAATGACTGAGGCAAGAGCCTCAGTTTGCCTCACACTGACTATGACCCTGGTTATCTACTGAAAGTCAAACTCTCATGTCAGGTTAATTAGCTCATTAGAACTGTCAGTGTTAAAAAAAAAAGGTGATAGCTGAAATATGACTCTAGATCAATCAAAACAAGTCTGAGTACTTGTTTTGATCGATCTAGAGTCATATTTCAGGTTTGTTGTGATGGGGTTTGCCTTCACACCAGCTCCCAGCGACCACTACCCAAGGGCTGATGTTTGCACACATGTAATTATTCTTGGTGCGAGTCACAGATGACAGTTAGAGTGCAGTTATGTTGTTTTCTCGCACCGGGGCGGGTTGGTAAAGGGAATGACGTACAGACTTTGGAGTTTTGCCAATTCTTTGGTGACTTGAAGTGACTCATATTTTGGGGTTCATAAAATGCAGTACTGGAACTTCTATTATCTAGGGCATGAAGCACCATGACGTTGGCAAGTACTCAAACTTGTTTTGATCGATCTAGAGCCAACCTTGGTACCCAGTAAGGCACCACATGTATCATGTGTTGCCTGCAAGCAGGCTCACCTTTGAGTCACGTGCGCGAGTGGCAAAAGGTGAGAAGGAGTCAGATGGTGGCAAGTTTGAAGGGCATAAAAGGCAGTAATGCTCATACCTTGATCAGTTCTTTTACAATGTATCTGACTATTAGTGCCTTGCTGAGAAAAATGATCCCTTGACTTAATTACCCATCCACCAAAATTATATTACATTCCGGAATATTCGCCCGACGTCTTTGAAGGGTTATGAGATACTAAACAACTGTTTTATATTCAATGTAAATTTAACCATGATATGATCTTATTTTGACTGAGGTGTTTGACAATACAATCATTACTGTTAAACAGTATTTTGCAACTATGTGACTCACTGCATCACCCAAATCAGTTAAATAAGACCAATGTTTCTCACTTTTTGTAAATTTCCAGATTATGACAAAATTTTATAATTTTCTAATTCAAGAGCTATTCAGAGTTGAAAGTTAAAGATAGAGATATTGATGTTCACTTCTGCTTTCCGTTTCATGATTTTTTATTGCTATTAATATCAGTAAACCATTAAGTGGTTCATCAATACATCAAATGCATCAATTATATTTGTGCTGTTTTTGCAATGATGTGGTTGTTAATTGCTACATTTGTAATATTGCAAATTTAAGTGATTCATCAATACAACACGTACATCAATTATATACATACTCTTTCTGCAATAATGTGGTTACAAATGCTACATGTATTAATAGTGTTACAGCTACCATTTTGTCAAATTGCACATTTTTTTGAATGTGGCTAATAGTAACAGTTTCAGTCCCAATTTGCATCTCTTATACTTTGATGGCTCAATACTTACCCACTCTTCATCAGTCAGATGATGCCACAATATTTACTGGTATCAACCAAATGTCTAAATAATTGGTTATCAAGTTTTGGTTATCTTTTTCACAGAATGCAAAATTAATGCATGATTAATAGATTTCAGTAACATGACTATAATCTGTGCATGGAAACATTTTCTTGGTTACAAATAACAAATAAAGATTTATTTATTATAGCTTTAATTTGTTACTAAATTTGTCAGTCTTTAATTAAAAACAATTAGCAGAGATGCCTAGCGTGGAACCAAACAAATAATCAATTGCCAGGAAATTGCCAGTTTTACCTTCTTGACCCTAAAAAAAGTTGTTCAAAGTGCTAGTAGAGCTATTGAATTCAACCACAAATAATAATACGTCAAATATCCAAAAACATTGTCCCAAAGAAAAGCCAGAAATCAGCCAAAATATGCCTGAAAAATGCATTTTTATACGCTTTCCTTTGCACTGTCTGGGAGATTTAGTGACCCATTCAGGAGATGGAAAATACAGTAATTATGATGTACCCTGAAGACTTCCAGATAATCCCAGAGAGGCATACATGTAGATGAATTAAATGGAGTCTCTTTGTTAAGTTGGAGTTTGGTACAGAAACAAGTTACACCCACTGTCGGTATTCAACTTTCATCGCTGATTTTTTTGTTTATTGTCTTTTTCCTTTAGGTTAATGTTCCAGAGCAAAAACTTCCTCAGTCGAAACAAGAAGGAAACAAAGAAATGGATGGTGAACTAGCAGTTTTAGAAAAACCATTTATTCCTCCATGTACAGTAAAACACAAAGATGCTCTTTCTGCTTTAAAGCGAGTGAAATCTGACAGTTGTAAAAGACTTATTTACAAGACAGCATGTCTGTCTGAAGCCAAAATGCTCTTCAAAACTGATGTAAAAAGATCTTGCCCTGTGCCTCGGGATAAGGGAAGCCCTGCAAAGACTGTTGATCCCACTCGCACAGCATACGGGAGTCCCATCAGGATTGCATACGTCCTCACACTTCATGGACGAGCTTTTAGACAAGTGAAGAGATTGTTCAAAGCTCTCTACCACAACAATCACTACTTTTTCTTTCACATTGACTCTGTGAGTATGATTTATTTGTGGATAGAGGAATCAGTATTATTTATTACATACAGTAATGACTTCTAATTATTCTGATGGCATGTTGCACACTAGAGAAGGGGGATGGGTATGTAAAATTAATCTATTTAGTAGTTCAGAAAGCTAAGCCATTAAGCCATTCATCAGACAAATTATGAACTGTTTAGTCAATGATTAACAAATAAATGTTAGCGGTTTACTGAAAAACATGATAAAACTGTCATTTTTACCTTGATAATGATGTCAGCAACATCGAAACATCAGACAGCCATAATTCTATTATAAATATATGTTACCTGACAAAACGTGAGAATTCTCAGGTCAAAAGCATGAAATGGAAGGATTGCAAAAAATGCAAATTAAAGTTACTTACAGTACAAGAACACCACAACATGTATGTAGACCATGACTTCCTTTACTTCTCAGTATTTTGGGTTGTAGCTAAAAGTATGCAATTATCCAAGCTTGATTATCCTAAACCTTCCCTGTACGGGGAATTTGCCAGGCATTTGAAAGGCTGTCAGTCTTCACCGTAGGGTAAAACTTTTAAATGTTACTAATATATTTTTCCTTTTTATTTGCCCAGAGGTCTGACTATCTTCGAAGAGAAATTCTAAAGATGATACGTAATTTTCCAAATGCTGCAGTAGCACCCTGGAGTTTGGCCACCATTTGGGGAGGGGCGAGTCTGCTTAAAATGTTACTCAAGTGTATGGAGGACTTAATGGCCAAGAAAGATTGGAAATGGGACTTTTTTATAAACTTGAGTGAATCTGACTATCCAATCAAGTAAGGATGAATGTATTCATTTGAAAATATGTGTAAATCTTCCCTGGTGATAATCATCAGCATCATTGTAGTCGTCGTCTCCATCACCATCATCAACAACAACTTACAACAACATCCTCATCATCATCTCAGAGGACTTGTGTCAAGCTATTACATGTGATACAAAGGGGCCTCTAGACCAAGAGGTTACAGCTGTAATCTTAACAGAAATTCTTGCAGGGAATACGTTTTAATATTAGACTGCATATGGCAGATTAAAAAAGCCTGAACACTACATGTGGATTAGTTTTGTTTGTGGAATGTTACGTGGTATCAAGATTTAAAACCAGTCTGATCTGGGATGAATAAATCACAAACCCCATTAGTTACAGGCCTTGTCATTTAATCTTAACAGGCTCTGTATCATCTGAATAGTTAAGGTACAATCAAAGTCATATCAAATTCACACAGTATCAAGATCTTGCAGTAATCTGTGATCTTCAAATAGGAATTTACAGAATTATTTATGGCATCAACAAAATTACACTAATCTAACAGTATTTTATGTTGCTCTATGATCAGGATTTCTAGCAATGTTAAAGGTGTTAATTCATGTTCAGATAGATCCAATTCTCAAACTAATCATGTACTAATTTTTTGTTTTGGTTTCAGGCATAATTCACAACTAGTGGAATTTCTAAGAGCTAACAGAGATTTTAATTTCTTAAAACCCCATGGAAGAGACCTTTGGAGGTTTGTATGCAATCATTTGACTGAAAACTAGTAAACATAAGTAAGGGTAGCCTGTGAACAGGCTCTCTAATTTCAGGATGGAGCAAAGAGAAAGCCGCCAGAAGATGCCTGGTTAACACATCGATGGTGAGACGATGTGCAAATTTTTAATGTATCAGGTTAGCAAAATGAAGATGTCAATCAAACTTGTCAACAATCAGTGATCTAACTAATTAGAGGTTGCACAATCTAATGCACAGCAGGTGCCTTGGAACGGCAGCATACAANCCCCCCCCCCCTACAGTAAGAGCCCTGACTATAAGGTTGTGTTCTACTGGCCAGGGATCAACCGCTCCTGGTTGGTTGGGTTAGTTTGGGTTTTTCGTGTTCTATTGGGGTAAAACCATTTTCGGTTGGTTTTGTTGATCAACTTTTTCAACCAGCCTCAAACCAGGTTGAAACAGTTGAAAAAGCATTTTCGGGATTATGTCGTGAGATTGCAGCTCACGTAAGGACTATTCCCAGGAGTTACCGGGTTTCAACCTTAAACGGTTGGAAAAGTGTCCTATTGAGAAACACCAACCGCATCAACCGAAACTGGTCGCGGTTGAAACGGTTGATCCCAATAAAACATGACCTAAGTTAAAAAATTCAACTCGATTTCAAGATATAGTCACTTTACCCTCCTACAATAATTATAACTTAAAATCCTTTTCATAACAATCTTGACTCTTCCTTCATTTTTTCCCTAAGGTTTATTAAAAAGCAAGGTTTAGATAGAACATTTTTAGAGTGCGATGAACACATGTGGCGACTTGGGGACAGAAAAATCCCCCCTGATATTGACATCGATGGAGGAAGTGACTGGATTGGCTTGAACAGGAAGTTCTGTCACTATTTAGTGACGTCAAAGGATCCTCTAGTGACGACACTCAAACACATGTACAGTTACTCCCTGTTACCAGCCGAGGTTTGTAAAAAAGCTGATTTGATGCTTTATAAATTGCTTGGTATAATACAGTGGAATCCCAATTTTTCGAACCCTCATTTTTTCAAACCCCCAGTAACTCAAACCAAAAGTCATTTCCATCTCCTCAGTTGAACACTGTAATTTTACCCCCAATTTCTCGAAATATCCAATTTTTCGAACCAATTTTCGTTTCCCTTGGAGGTTCAAAAAATCAGGATTCCACTGTACATGGATTGACGTCTTTCTTCTCCACATGAGCCTCTTTCATGCTGCCTGACTGTATAAGATGGCAGTTCAGAGGCTAGGGAGAGGGGGAGCAAAGAAATTGTGTGGTGCCCTCCAACTCCTCTTTCCACCCCCCACTCCCTTAGGGAGCCTCTGCGGAGTAGAGAGGATTGACATCAGTAAAACTATAAGCCAGATGCAAAACACTCGTCTCACTCAGGGACTGTTTTCAGACAAGAATATAGTGAGCTTTCAGTCAACATCCGTGAGTTTTGTAGGATGCTCTCAAATTGTTAGTGCAACCTGAGGAAATGAGGTTTTCCTATTGGTGGGAGGGGGGTGATGTAATGGACTAGCAATGCATCCAGGGGGAGTAGAAATACGTTTTGTCATTCTACGATCATTCTACGATCATTCAACAGGCTGATTTTTGTAGCGCTAAGCAACTTCAGAATATTGCTGCTCAGGAGTTTTTGTTTCTTCAATGATGAATTTGACATATGTCCATTGGAGTTTTTCTACTATATCTCCAATTACTTTGCCAGGTTGCCGATAGCCATTTATATACTCCAAGCTGGAGAAAGGTACAGAGAGAGAGTTAGGTTTCCAACCTAAGAATACAGCACTATGACCTGTACAAGACTTGAATCTATAACCCTTTATGTAGAGTCTGCCAAACAACTCCCCGCCCCTCCTCGTTTCTCAAACTATTCCCATTACATTCATGACCAAAGTTGAATTAAAACCAAAGTTAAAAGTGCTTTTGCAATTCCAAATTAAAATCTTTTCCGCTTTTGTTTTTCCAGTCTTTCTTTCACACTGTACTAAGGAATGGTCCTTACTGTGAGACCTTCATCCGCACGAATTTTCGCCTCACCAACTGGAAGCGAAAGCTGGGCTGTCGCTGTCAGTACAAACACATTGTAGATTGGTGTGGGTGCTCGCCAAATGACTTCAAACCTGAGGATATGCCTCGACTAAAGGTGACATTTTAATCAGTACCACAGATATCAAACCAGTGTAGATAGGTAGATGCAAACCGTATTTTAAGAAGAAGCAACCGGGATTACAGGCAGTCCCTCTCTTATTTTCCCGTGTTTTTCTTTGTTCTTCTCCTTAGTTAGAGGCGAGAGGGGGAATTCAGTTGAGGAACGCGTGAACAGTCGATTCGTTTTCTGCTTCTCGCTCGAAGAAGTTAAGGACGAAAAAAACTAGAAGATTGCGTGACAAGCCCAAAGCGCGTCTGCTTAGCTAATCTCAATCTTGCTCTCGGCTTGCTGTGAACAGTACGTTTAATTTGAATCCACAGTCGTTCAGTTATTACTGATCGACTGTAAATTACCGCCAGGGATTCTCCTTAAGTTAACCTTGTGTTTTTTTTTTTTTTTCCTTTCTTTTTAGAGCCAGGGAGGAAACTACTTTGCGCGAAAGTTCGAGGCGATCGTCAACCAAGAGGTTATCAACCAGTTAGATGCCTGGCTGTATGACCCGTACCCCCCGGACACGCCTGGACTTAACTACTACTGGGAAAATATTTACCACTACGAAGACTCAGTCACAAAAGCCAGTGACGTGTTTAGGACATTTTTCCAATCTTTCGTTAGATTGGGAGCGAAAAGCTTGAAAACTTCTCCCGCACAAGATGGCGAAAGCCACAGTTGTCGCGATGGAATCGTTGGAAACATCAAAGAAGTCACAGTTCTTAGTCAACATGATCAGTTTGGTGGGTTGTTAGCTTTATATGACGTTGAATACACAACAAGCAGTGGCGGCAAACAGAATGTCACGTTGGAGTCGTGGTTGGCTCCATTGAGCCACGAGGAGCTGTTAAATTTGAACATGAGCAACGGGCCACAGCGACTTGTTGGATTAGAGGTAACAAGCAAGCTTATTACCTGCTGATAAGTTCAGTACGTTTAGGGTAAAGATTGCATTGTGCCTATTATATAAACAACAAGATATTTTATACAAGGGTTATATTTCGGTATTATTCTGGACTATCTTCAAACTAAAATAACATTCCGATCTAAGGTAAGGTCAAGTCTACATACGAGCCAAGTGGCCCATCAGGCCGGCGCTTATCCCGGTTTCTGTAGCATGAAGCGACTAGGAGTATTTCTACTCCCCCCTGG